ATATATCGCGAAAACTGCAATATGTAGTGAGTTATCCTGGTAACAAGGATATCTAGTCTGTATGTAGTGAGTTATCCTGGTAACAAGGATAGCTAGTCTATATGTAGTGAGTTATCCTGGTAACAAGAATGGTTCTGCTGAGTTCGATCATTTTAGTGTAGAGACAAACGGTCCAAAACAGCGCTGGGTCTTCATGTTATTTTCCAGATTTATAGACAATTGTTCTAATTAGTTTAGTAAGGTTGATTGAAAGGGATGGAGTTGCGCATCATTATCAAGAATTAACATTTTTTAAAACAACTGCGCGGGTTTCGTGGAATAATGAATTTTCAGTAGTGCTAATAAATGTGTTCTATGAAGACTCCTTGATTTTATTATTTCCAACCGGCTAAGCAGAATAGTGTGTGGTAATAAAAGTTGTAGCGGTTTGCAAAAATAACAACAATTGTTACTGCATTTAGGGGCGTCGTGTAAAAGTGGGTTTCTGCTGGAGTGATAAGTTTGGTTCTGTTGAAACAAAATATGTAGTTAGTTATAATACTCACGTACTTAGGGGGGGGGGGGGCACCGTATCAGATTGTGACCAATCGCTAACCTACAAGGTAAACTGGTTTCTGCTTGTGTGACGTGACCTACCTTACGTCTGGTGCGAGTCGGACAGTGTCTGTACCAGACCTTTGCAATGCCGAGTAAAAACAATGATTCTAACTTTACTTCTTAAACACCCACCTTTTATTTAAAGTAACTTATAAGTGAATTAATTTAATTATAATGGAGTCGATTAAATTTGATTAACTATAAAAAAAAATCCATAAAACTTAACCTATTTTAAAAGTTTGTAATAAACAAGTCCTTATTTTAAAAAAAAATGAGAACAACAACAACAAAAGAAACATCTCAAATGTTTGGAAATACGAGGCTACTGCTTACCCTGTAAAGACGCTCTTTTTGGTACCATACATCTTCATCTTCTTCCAACATACCAAAGTCCAAGTTCAGTCCGTCCCGGGAACGGGAAATAATTCGTCTTCTACTGATCATCTCAGCTTGTGCTTCAGGTCCACAACTATAATGTTCGATATAGAGGCGTTAAAACTGTTCTTCTAACAAGGAAATGCTGGATACTAGACCATAGCTTGGATAAATAAATATAGGTTAATTAAGGTAGCAAAAGTGTCGCCTGTCTTTACTTTTGGAAAAAAAAAATGTCATAGCCACGATGAAACATATACACCAGAACTATCTCTAATCCAATCCTATATCAGACTATCTTTAATTCAGTCACATTATCTCTAATCCAATCCTATATCAGACTATCTTTAATTCAGACACATTATCTCTAATCCAATCCTATATCAGACTATCTTTAATTCAGACACATTATCTCTAATTCAATCCTATATCAGACTATCTTTAATTCAGACACATTATCTCTAATCCAATCCCATATCAGACTATCTTTAATTCAGACACATTATCTCTAATCCAATCCCATATCAGACTATCTTTAATCCAAACCTATGACAAACTATCTTTAATCCAGACCCATGACAAACTATCTCTAATCTAATCCTATATCAGACTATCTGACTATCTCTAATCCAGACCTATGATAAACTATCTCTAATCCAATCCTATATCAGACTATCTTTAATCCAGGCCTATATGAGACTATCTTTAATCTAATCCTATGTCTGGATATCTTTAATCCAGACCTGTGATAAACTATCTATAATCCAATTCTGTATCAGACTATCTATAATCCAATTCTGTATCAGACTATCTATAATCCAGACCTATGATAAACTATCTCTAATCCAATCCTATATGAGACTATCTTTAATCCAGACCTATGGCAAACTATCGCTAATCCAATCCTATATCAGACTATGTCTAATCCAATTCTGTGTCAGACTATTTTTAATCCAGACCTATATGAGACTATCTCTAATCCAATCCTATATCTGTTTATCTCTAATTTCATAATCGTTTACTTCTGCTAAGTCAGCATGATTGTTTGATGTTCTCTTGGAGTTTCCTGCTCCAAGAAACGTTCAGGTAAAGAAAGATTCTGCTGATCGCGCATCGATGATGGTACGAAGGGTCATCCCATAAAAGTAATGCGATACACATGTTTGAAATAAGAACATCTACTAAATCTTACTTTTTATGCCTTCAACCTTTAATTAATGAAATGTGAAGATACTTAGTCACTTGTGTGCTGTAAAGTTTGATTAATATCTTGAAAAACTTGTTTTGTTTTGTTATTTGAAAAAAACTCGCTTTTTTTTTATTGGAGAACTTGATAACTTTTGAAGGCCGTACCACAGCATATCTTAAACATTTTAAAACAAATGCTCTGTTGTCTACAAAAGTAGATGAAATAGATATCTCAGAAGAGCTGTGGTACATTTTACAATCAGTACTACAACTACCCTCTAAAACCTACACATTGCCAAGTGGTTAGGGAGCTCGACTCGCAATCTGAGGGTTGCGGGTTCGAATCCCCATCACACCAAACAAGCTCGCACTTTCAGCAGTGAGGGCGTTATAATGTGACGGTCAATCCCACTATTCGTTGGTAGAAGAGTAGCCCAAGAGTTGGCGGTGGGGTGGTGACGACTAGCTGCCTTCCCTCTAGTCTTACGCTGCTAAATTAGGGACGGCTAGGGCAGATAGCCCTCGTGTAGTTTTGCGCGCAATTCAAAACAAACAAACAAAATATATACTTTATACACGCTACACCGCATTATTTTGCACTCACTTTTTTGGGGGTAGTTTAGTAAAGGACTCTGAACTGTCAGTTGTTACCAAACACGTTTTCGGACATCAACATCGGTGCTTGCAGCTAATGACTTTTTTTCTAAAATAACTTTGTGACGCAATTTATTTTGCCAAAGATGGTCTTTATCTGTCCATTCTTTCTCTTTCACTCAAGCCATTATCTGTTGACCGTTTCACGTTATTATCTGTTGACCACTCCACTTTCGGAAATGAATCGGAAAGTGTGACGATTGCTTGCTCCTTGGTCACTACTTCACAGCTGTCCTTTCACCTCTCGCTGTCTGTCGAATCGTTAATTGCAAGAAGATACTCCACCATATGCGTTGTTTACCATTTCGTTTCATTCTTCTAGATTAATGGAGAGACGAGAGTGTCAAAAGTTAGGTTTCTAATGAGTCACGATCTTCAGAAAGCACCCTGCAAGTTTCTTTAATGAATACGTCACGAGAAGAGTATGTTCGCAAGAGGACCAGTTTACTATTGCATGAAGGTAGTGTTCCTTTGATCACAGTGAACTGTATAAAACATTGGGTTTACATCCAAATTGCCCTGGATACTTGTGCTACGCCCTTCAGTTTTCAAGGCATATTCCATGCATGATTTATTTACAACGTAGCGTTTATACAATGCCAACAACCACCTAGGGTAAAATAACGGCATTGCAATCGGCTATTGAACTGAGAAACTATAACAAAGAACTTCTAGGCATATAATTAGCATCTGGAAAAGCTGAATCGAAAAAAAAGTTCCTTTTTAAATCCATCTCTTTTTTTCTTTTTTGAAGTTCAATCAAAAATCTGTTAGGTCATGCTGCCTGTATGAATTTATGATATGTGGGACAAAGATGTCTATGTATCTATACATCCAGGAAGAACAAAGCATGCTGGGAATTCTGCTAAAATTTGTCAATACATTTAAGAAATAAATATTTCTTTTTCGTGAATATTTTTTTTAACAAGTAGTGGAAATAATTCTTGATAGGAGGAATCAAGGAAGTTCGTTTCTAGAAAACTAGAATGCTTGAATGGCTACGAAAACGAAGACAATTATTTAAATAAGTTACCAAAATATAAAAACCAGTTCTAGCAAGGTACTGCCAGCGCTTTAAAAATTTCCAGATTAATGAAAAAAAAAAAAAGAAGCGAGAGTAGTCTTCACAACAGTAAAAACAAAACATCCGGTTAGTTGAGGCTACAAAATGAATAAATAAAAGCGTCTCGGCATAATTCCATGCAGTAAAACGGCGTATTTCATGACATTGGATTTAGCATAGTTGGAAATGTTTTACTGCAATATGAAGATAATGCTACTCTATATACAATCATCATTTTCCTTCAACATTTATAGAAGAGGAGCAGGTAATAATTTCCAAGGTTGAACCTCAACTTACCTTAACTTTCAACTAGTAATCCTCCGTAATCCAAAACTACACTTCTTTAAGCTGTTGGATCACAAGATTAAAGCCCATTAGTTGTAACAGGTGTTTTGTCTAACCACAACAAGAAGTCTATGGAAGGTGGCACTAGCACGTGCGCAAAACTTGCCTGTGTTGTTTGGGCCAACAAGGAGACCGTTGTGGCACGATGTCGCTCACTCCATCTGTTTGTAGTCCTACGTCATTACTGACGTAAGCTAAAGTAGGTTACGGGTTCGTCCTATTAAACCCCACCACCACTAACGCCAGGTAACGAACTAACTACACACACACACCATTCCGTTACGTTACTGAACTTCGAAGGGAAAAGTAAGAACTAAGTAAAAGAATAACTGAGTCAAAGTAAGAACTAAGTAAAAGAATAACTGAGTCAAAGTAAGAACTAAGTAAAAGAATAACTGAGTCAAAGTAAGAACTAAGTAAAAGAATAACTGAGTCAAAGTAAGAACTAAGTAAAAGAATAACTGAGTCAAAGTAAGAACTAAGTAAAAGAATAACTGAGTCAAAGTAAGAACTAAGTAAAAGAATAACTGAGTCAAAGTAAGAACTAAGTAAAAGAATAACTGAGTCAAAGTAAGAACTAAGTAAAAGAATAACTGAGTCAAAGTAAGAACTAAGTAAAAGAATAACTGAGTCAAAGTAAGATGTGTTTCTTCTATGATATGTATGTATATCTATTTGAATCAACACCATATCACCTTTTACACTTTAACATTAGTTATGGTTTACTCCTCGTTTACTCGTTTCTGTTGTATAAGTGCCATTTTAAACTAACATTTGACATTTACATTACAGTAGCCAGTGTTTACACAAAGTTATCATAAAAAGTCAAAAGTTAAGCTCATTTTTGGACGCAATCATCTTCCCAAAAGGGGGCCAAAGGCCGCCTGGAGGTGTCACCTGTTTTCACAACTCGCACCACTGTATAGTAGTGTGTTGTCTGTTAATCAGTCAGTAGACACTTAAATGATGACACATAAGGGATGCTTAACGTTGCATTTGGTACTGTCGTGAAGTTAGTAAAACGTGCACATGCCATGAATCACGAGAATAATTATACACTCTGTAGACTACAACACAGCATGACATATGAACTTCAAAAGCAAGAAATAAAAATATTTGTTACTTTGAATTTTGGTTTAATTTACTCTTGAAACAGAACACTTTCGGAGATTCTGCGCAAGAACATCTAAGTATTGGAACTGCTTTATAAATTCTAATCAATCAGCGACACAAAGGGTCCGGCGTGGCCAGGTGGTTAGGGCGCTCAACTCGCAATCTGCGGGTGTTCGAATCCCCGTCACACCAAACATGCTCGCTCTTTCAGCCGTGTGTGCGTTCTAATGTGACGGTCAATCCCACAGTTTGTTGGTAAAAGAGTAGCCCAAGAGTTGGCGGTGGGTGATGATGACTAGCTGCCTTCCCTCTAGTCTTACACTGCTAAATTAGGGACGGCCAGCGCAGATATACCTCGTGTAGCTTTGCGCGAAATTCAAAACAAACAAACAGCAACACAAAGAGAAAGAAACGCCAGTAAATGAGTTGCACCAGTGACACCAACAAAAATCTCAGTGAACCTGTGGCAGCAGTAGAAATCCCAAAGAATCAGTGGCGTCAAGTGAAATGCCAGGGACGCAGGGAAAATATCAGTGAATAAATTAAAGTGAATTAGAGACAGCAATAAAAATCCTAATAAATCAGCGGCTCCACAAAAATACCAGTGATTTAGTAAAGCCAGGAGAAATGATGGTGAATCAGTGACGCTACAAGAAATCCCAGTGGCACCAAGTGAAATGCCAGTATGTTAGTGGCACCAGTAGAAATCCCAAAGAATCAGTGGCGTCAAG